GTGCAGCACTTTCACAGCATCATCTTTTAGGATTTGAAATAACTCAACTGGAATTCCATCACCTCCACTAGCTTTGTTCATAGTGATGCTTCCTAAGGCCCGCTTGACTTCGCATTCCAGGATGTCTGGCTCTAGGTGAGTGATCACACCATAGTGATTATATGGGTCGTGAATAACTTTTTTGTATCTTTTTTGAATACACAGTTCTTTTGTGTATTCTTGCCACCCCTTCGTAATATCTTCTGCTTCTGTTAGGTCCATACCATTTTTGTCTTTTATTGTGCCCATCTTTGCATGAAATGTTCCCATGGTATCTCTGATTTTCTTGAAAAGATCTCTAGTCTTTCCTATCCTGTTGTTCTCCTTTATTTCTTTGCATTGATCACTGGGAAGGCTTTCTTGTCTCTCTTTGCTATTCTTTGGGACTCTGCATTGAAATGGGTATATCTTTCCTTTTCTCCTTTGCCTTTCACTTCTCTTCTTTTCACAGCTATTTGTAAGGTCTCCTCAGACAGCCATTTTGCCTTTTTGCATTTCTTTTTCTTGGGGATAGTCTGGATCCCTGCCTCCTGTACAATATCACGAACCTCCGTCCATAGTTCTTCAGGCACTCTATCAGATCTAATCCCTTTATTTCTCACTTCTCTTAGTTCCCTTTTTTTTTGGACATTGACATATATGCACTACCATGGATAAAATAGATAGCTAATGAGAACCTACTGTATAGCTCAGGAAACTTAGTGCTCTGTGGTGATGGAAAGAAAATACAAAACAGAGGCTATAGATATATATGTGTGTGTGTGTGTGTGTGTGTGTATATGTACACACATATAGCTGATTGACTTTGTTGTACAGCAGAAATTAAAACAACATTGTAAAGCAAATATACTCCAATAAAAATTAATTTAAAAGATGCCCCATTTTTCTCTGGTAATATTCCTGGACTTCTGGTCTATTTTATCCAATAGTATCATCTGCATCTTGTGTTTGTACCTTTCATCCACTGACGTTTCACCCTCCCGGGTCCTCTCTGCTTAAATCCTGTCTCCTACAGACAGCGTACAGTTGAGTTCTCCTGTTTTATTAACCCCACGAATCTATGCCATTTCGTTGCAATGTTCAGTTCATTAACAGCTGATATAGTTACTGATGTGACTGGATTTAGATCTACTGTTTTATCTTTCCTCTTCTGTTTGCTTAAGTTTTTCAGGTGTTTTGCAGTTTCTGTATTTATAGAATTATTTGAATATTTTTAAAGGCTCTATTTCAGTTTATCTATTGGCATTTTATTTCCAATTCTTTGCATTATTTTGCATTATTTGCTCTAGAGATTATAATGACTTCCTTAACTTTCCTTAACAGTCTATTTAGAATTAAGGTTGTACCGCTTTTCAAAATAAGCAGGAAAAAAACCTTGCACTTATATAGATCCATTTACCACGAAACCCTATTCCTTACAGTAAAGTTCCCATTTGAAAATCTGTATACACCTACATACATTTTAAACTATACAAGACAACGTTACAGATTTTTTTTTTTTCAAACAGTCTTGGGTGTTTTAAATAAATTAGGAAGAGAAAAAAGACTTTAATGATATTTACCCAGAATTTTTATCATTTCTATGTGTCCTAATTCCTTTTGAAAGATTTGAGTTTCCAGTACTATCATTTCCCTTCAGTTTGAACAATTTCCTCGAGTTTCGGTCTGCAGGTGATAAATTCCCTTAGTTTCCTTTTATTGGAAAATTCTTTGTGTTAGTTCATTTCAACTATCCTTTAGCTCCTATCTCACCTCCTCCATGCAGCCTTCCTGGGATCTCTAGCACACAGGAAGCCCAGTTCTCTTTTATCCGCGTTGGAGGATGTGTCTTTAACGTAGAGCCAAATTGTAGGAGGCTGAGAAGTCCATGTCCACCCACAGGACTGAGCGTTTGTGCATAACCAGTCCTCTTTCACCCCTCCCTCCTTCCCTTACCCTCTCTTTCTTCTTCCCTCCCTCTCTCCAGATCCCGTTTCTTCTCAGAGGAAGAGAACCAAAAGAGGGCAAGCAGCAGCATGCAGCCGCTGTCGGGGGAGACCCCGGACTGACGGGGCCCCAGCCCAGCAGTGCACACTGCCCTCCGTGAACTGCCGGTGCTGCTGCCAGGAGCGCCGCCGTCACGGACAGGAGTTGCCAGCGCCCTGCAGACGCTGCCTTTGCCGCCGTGCCGGTTACCTTCTGGGCTCAGGGGGAAGGGGGCTGAGGACTGTGGTCCTCAGTCCTCAGCAGCCGCCTCCCTGCCGGGGGCCAGGCTGGGCTCTGTTTGGGCCCCTTCAAGGCGGGGCCTTGCCCAGACTGCACGACTCGCAGACCCATCGCAGGGGAGGAGAGAGGTGGAAGAGCGGGCCTGAGCTTATTCTGGAGACCACAGTTTGTTTGGGCATATTTGGGATCTAGCATGATGAAGCAGCCTAGTCTGGGCTTCAGGGACCTGCATTCCAACTCTGCCTCTGACTCCATCTCCCTGGAGACATTTGTGGAGTCTCTGCCTCTCCCAGTCTCTAGGGTCCATTATCTTGAGCAAGGGGTCAGCTTGTTCCAAGTGTTTATTTTTTATGGTCTGAAACTGTATCCCTTCCCTTTACCTCCTCGGCCAGGACTGCCTCTGCCTCTCCTGCCAGGAGAATTCTGGCTATCTGTAGAAAAGGATTCCCCAAGAAAAACATGAGAGGTCTTTCAGGAGACCAGATTTTCCCTAACTTCACTTTTCCTGGTTTGCTCACTCATGGTAAGCCCAGGGCTCCCCAGCACCAGCAGCGAAGTTTCAGCCACGGCATCGATGGGTCTGTGCTGAACCCTGGCTGTGGGTCCTTGATCAACTACAGAATCGCTCTAAGGCTGTTTTCTTACCTATACAATGGAGATAATAGGGTTGATAGCAGTGGGTTATTTGGAGGATTAAATGCAATAAGGCAGTTCAAGTCCTAACACAGTGCCTGTCACAGAGTAAACCTACAATGAATACTTTTATTATTATCATCATCAACGGCATTATTTACCACCTCCTCTAACTCTAGGCCTCCCCGGCAGCTCAGACAGTAAAAGAATCTGCCTGCAGTGCACGAGACCTGGGTTGGATCCCTGGATTGGGAAGATCCCCTAGAGAAGGGAATGGCAACCCACTCCAGTATTCTTGCCTAGAGAATTCCCTGGACAGGGGAGCCTGGCGGGCTGCAGCCCATGGGGTTACAGAGTCCAGACATGACTGAGCAACGAACACTTTCTCTTACTCCAGGGAAAGACCACCTCCCAGAGTCTGAGAGAGCAGCTTGGCATGGCCTGATGCACGCACAGCTGAGGAGGTCTCTCCAACGAGAAGACCCCCAGCTTCTGTGCATGAGTCCTCTAGCAGTCACTGTGCCAGGCACCCAAGTGGCTTGCCAGGGTCTATCCATGTGTGCTGTTGTGGGAATTCAAAAGCTCCCTCTGCATAGCACGTGGCCCAGCGCCTGCCCGCAGCCCCCAGTGAAGTGCAGCCGACAGGACCGTGGTCACTGCCTGGATTGGGAAGATCCCCTAGAGAAGGGAATGGCAACCCACTCCAGTATTCTTGCCTAGAGAATTCCCTGGACAGAGAAGCCTGGCGGGCTGCAGCCCATGGGGTTACAGAGTCCAGACATGACTGAGCAACGAACACTTTCTCTTACTCCAGGGAAAGACCGCCTCCCAGAGTCTGAGAGAGCAGCTTGGCATGGCCTGATGCACGCACAGCTGAGGAGGTCTCTCCAACGAGAAGACCCCCAGCTTCTGTGCACGAGTCCTCTAGCAGTCACTGTGCCAGGCACCCAAGTGGCTTGCCAGGGTCTATCCATGTGCGCTCCATGGGTCTATCCATGTGTGTGGGAATTCAAAAGCTCCCTCTGCATAGCACGTGGCCCAGCGCCTGCCCGCAGCCCCCAGTGAAGTGCAGCCGACAGGACCGTGGTCACTGCCGCCAGGGAGCTGCCTCTGAGCTGCAGGTGATGAGATGCGGGCTCAGGAGACACGGGCAGGAACTAACGGGCCAAGGACCTGAGGCAATTTGCCCGACCGCTCTGACCCTCAACTTCCTTGTCTGTGTGGTGATGGGGTTGGTTCCACTCCCTGCATAGGGCTGTTGGGGGTGGAGTTACGTGGTCACAATGCAGGGGTGATGATGCAGGGTGATCACAATGCAGGGGTGATGATGCAGGGTGATCACAATGCAGGGGTGATGATTGCATGAGCTGTAATCACAGGCCAGATTGTGTGTCCCACAAGCTCCCCTCCTTTTCTGAGGAGCTCTGTCCTGTCCCTCTGTCAGCGTGGAGGAGGGGAAGAGACTGATAGCTGTGCTTTCTCCACCTTCTGCCCCCAGAGCCTTTAGCTCCAGGCTGCGCTTGGCTCCACGCGGAGTCAGCTCAACAGACAGGAAAGCTCACAAGGACGGGACACACATAGATTTTTTTTTTTTTTTTAATTAAAAAGAACATAAGAAAACAGAATCACTTCCCAGGGTGCGCTGTGATGCGGCATCACTGGTATGTAAAGCATGCACAAAAACAGGAAAAAGATCCCACGAGCTGCCTGCGTGGACCCCTCTGTGGCAGTCTGAAGCCCCTCCTGGGCTATGAAAAAGGAATCACTGATTCACCCTTGTTTTTCTTGGAAGACTCAGCCACCTCCAGCTCACTGGTCCATGACGTGCACACAGGAAGTTGGGCTTTACAAGATTTTGCCAGTGGGCGGAGCAGGGGTGGGAGTTTGGGGTGCACACTCCTCCCTTCCCTGCCCGGCTCCTGGTCTCTGGGGCTGGGGAGGCAATCTCCCTCTGTGGGGGGAGGCTAGACACACAGTCCAGCAGGGGCAGGGATCTGGGCTCCCCCCTTGAGTAGGAGCAAAAGGAGTGTTGGCAGGTAAGTTGGGGGCCGCCACAGAATAAAGACTTGGACCAAGATGAGATATACCCAGGGCTGGTAACTAAATGTGATGGCTGGCTGGAAGGCAGTGGAGAGATTTTGATGTGTTTGCCATCATCACCTCGTCACACTGACTTTACTTGTCTGCTCAACCAATCCCTCCATTCCTGCCTCGGTTGGCCCAAACTTTGAGGGGAAACACCAGAACCTGCACCTGACTCCCTGCTCCACCACTTCCTAGTTTGTATGACTCTGGGAAAGTGACTTAACTCCCTCGAGCCTCAGTTTTCTCATCTGTTAAATGGGTAGATGCATATGACCCTCACAAGGTGGTTGGAAATAGAAAGTGAAATCATATCTTCAGAGAACCTCATACAGCACCTAGCACAGAAGTGCTCAATAAATGGCCAGGTTGGTTACTGTCATGCAGGCACCAACATTCCCACTGCAAAGTTGGTTGGGTTGTATGGGTGGATATGTGACACACTCAAGGTTTATACAACGTTCCAGAAAACAGATGAATTCCTCTGAGCCTCCTGTGTGTGTCTGGCCGATTAGAGGTCTGGAGTACTGGCATGGAGGACCCCCGGCATGTCCGTCTGGCCTGGCTCAGGAGCTGCTCCGTTTCTAGACCTCAGTGCCCTCCCTGGGGTAGAGGACACTGTTCGTGTTGACGCTCCCGTAGAAGGGAGGGTTGAATTGGTTGAGGACAGAGCCCCCGTAGCCCAGAGCGTTGCTGGGCATGGGGCTGGCCCACTCGCCCCCGCCCACAGGGCTGCTGATGTTGGTGAGGGGGGTGTAGGAGCTGAAGCTCAGTGAGTTCTGCCCCACCTTGTCAGCAGGCTCGAGGCTCAGTCCCGGCGTGCTGGCCGCGGGGCGGCCCAGGGGACTTGGCCCGCTCACATAGGCTGACATGGTCGAGAGGAAGCTGCTGAGGCATGGGGTGCCTGGCGGGGGCGGTGTCGGCCGCTTCTCCGGGGAGCCGGTGGGGCCCGGTGCAGCGCCGTCCACGATGTCCTGGGCCTCTGCCGTCTCGGGGCTGCCTGCCAGGAGCCCAGCCTCTGTTTTCTCTGGGGTCAGGGAGCCCGTGCTGGAGGAGAGGTCTGATTTTCTCTTCCTCTTCCTGCGGAAATTTCCGTTGTCGAACATCTTCTCACAGTTGGGGTCCAGGGTCCAATAGTTCCCTTTGCCTGGCACAGGGGCAGGAGAGGGTAAGTACAGAGATGGAGCCAATACTCTGCTCCCGTTCCTCCCTGTCTGTCAGATGCTAAAACCAAAGGTAACAGATGCAGAAAGGCAGAGAAGAAGACAGGAATGCCGCAAACTCACCATGCATCACACCACACGGATCTTTCCTCAAGCACCCACCTCACACCTCGGCACACTCGGAGTGCAGAGAGGCCTGGCCCACGAAGGAGTTTACTGTGTGGGCTCTTCTAGAGATGCAAATACTGGGGCCAAGGCGAGGGAGGGGGTTCTTCCATTGCTGATGGGAAAGAGAACTCAGGGAGAAACAGAGGGCTTCCTGAAGGTCCTGAGCATGAACTCCGAGGGTGGACTTGAGTCCCAGCTTCAGATAGGGGCCCTGGGATGAGCCTGGGTTTCCTAGTCTGAGAAGTGGGCCCACTGGGCCTGCCCCTTCTTCCTCAGGCTGGCTGTGAGAGAGGGCTAATGCTAGACATGTGAAAGGGGCTTTGTCCCCGGGAGGGACAGTCTGCACCCTGCCTGCCACATCTCTCAGCCTAAGGGTGAGGCCAGCCATTGGAGAGAACGCTCGCGTTCCTCTGTAGGACCAACAGTCCTGCCCTCACAACCCTCAGAGTGGGTGGGCGTGGGTTTCCTCTGAGAGGTATGCTGGCTTCCTATGGTGTGACGGGAGTGCACTTTGATTCTGGGAAATGGATACATGAGTATTTAATATATTACTCTCTGTACATTTCTATGGGCTTGCCTGGTGGCTTAGATGGTAAAGAATCCATCTGTGATGCCAGAAACCTGGGTTTGATTCCTGGGTTGGGAAGATCCCCTGGAGAAGGAAGATCACCGGGAGAAGTAATCTTGGCAGGAAAATGCCATGGACAGAGGAGCCTGGTGGGCTATAGTCCACGGGGTCATAAAAAGCCTGACATGACTGAGTGACTAAGCACACACATCTCTAAGTTCTAGAAACTGCTCTTTATAAAGGAACAGCTCACACCCTGGTGTGAGAGGGGCCTCCATTCAGACACTTGCCCCCACAGTCACATCCTTCTGCATCACCCTAGGCAAGGGGCTTCACCTCTGGCTGTTATTTTCCTCAACTGATAAAATGAGGATAATAAGAGCCACCCTGCAGGGCTTGATTAAAGAAGGCGATGTAGCCAAGGCAGGCAGGCGGCGTAATGTGGCCCCGAGTGGTTGTCCCACGGATGTCTGGTCCCTCCCCGGGGGACTGGAGCGCACGCAGCGTTGTGTAGTTCCAGCAGTCACCACCCCCGCCCCCACAGGAGTCTCCCCACGCTGGATGCTGGGGTCTGAATCAATGGTCACAGTCACTGCAGTCCATGGAGCTTGTGTCAGCACCAAACACCTCGTGTGCATCACCTCACGAGCCCACTGCCCACAAGCCTGGCAGACTGACTATTATCCTGGCCCTGTGTTTCAGATGGGAAAAGCGAGGCTCAGAGGTCACTCAGAGGTCAGCGGCACATCTGCCTGCAGGGTCCACCTTTAGAGCGGACTCCTTCTGCCCACCGCCACTCCACCCCCGGCCTCGGGGTGGGGCAGGATCCCTGCAGGGCTTCCTAGAATGGGGTGTCGGGAGGACTGAGCCTTCCTCGGGGGACGACCCCACACCCACAGCCCCCTTACCCGGGTCATCCTCGTCGCGGGGCACCTTCTTGAAGCAGTCGTTGAGAGACAGGTTGTGGCGGATGGAGTTCTGCCAGCCGGCCTTGCTCTTGTTGTAGAAGGGGAAGTTGTCGGCCACGTACTGGTAGATCTGGCTGAGTGTGAGGCGCTTGTCGGGCGCCCCGTGGATGGCCATGGCGATGAGCGCCGAGTAGGAGTAGGGCGGCCGCACCAGCTTCATCAGCTCCTCCTGCGAGGGGAGCGGCAGCCAGCCCAGGTCGCCGGCCCCCAGCGCGGGCACGCCGGCGGGCAGCAGCTGCCTCTGCACACCGCCGTAGGCCTGGGGCAGGAAGGGGCTGCTGCCTGGCAGGTAGGGTGGCGGGGTCACGGCTGGCCCATTGAGCCAGAGGTAGGGGTTGGGGGTGGCCCCATACTCCCCGCCACCCTCGAAGGAGGGGGGCCGCTGCGGGCTGGGCGCGCCCTGGGGGTGGAAGAAGTTCTCGTAGTAAAGGTTCATCTCGGGGGGCTCCTGGCCGAGGCTGGGGAACTGGGGGCTGCAGCGGGGCGGGGAGGGCGCCGGGAGGTCGAAGGAGCTCATGCTGGGCCGGGCTGGCCGCCGCCACCTGCCGGGGAGCTGGCCCTGCCAGGTGCGGGCAGGCCCCGCTTATACCGGCTGGCCCCACCCCGGGGCGTCGCCGCCGGCCCGCCCCGCCCTCCTCCCCCGGTGGCCCGAGGGCCCTTCCCCGCGGCCACGGCCACGGCGGCCCGAAGGACACGCTCGGCCGGCTTCCCGGCTGCTAGCAGCGAGGACACAGGCGCCCCTCTGCCTCCTTCCCTCTCTTTCCTTCCTTCTCCTGCTGTCTCCCCGTCTCATCACCTGGCCCCTGCGCCTCCTCCTGTCTGTCTGTCTGTCTCTGCTGCCCTTTCCCCTTTCTCTCCTTCTGAACTGTCTGCCCTGGGCTTTCCTGGGCTCTCCTGTATCCTCTCAGCAAATCACCCTCGGTTCCTCCCCTTCTCTCTGGCGTGGAGCTGCCCGCGTTTCCCTCCCTGGCAGTCCCTCTGTCTCTCTGAGCTTGCTTCCAGGTCTTTCTCCCTCCACCTCCTTCCTCTCAAGTCCTCACCGTCTCTGCTTCTCCCCTGCTTCCTTTCCTCTACGTGTCTGTCTGTCTGTCTGACGTCGTCTCTGTGTCTCTTCCCCTTCCCCTCCGTCTCCATCTTCTTCGCATCCTGACCCCTCACCCAGACTGGAGGAGACACTTCATCAGAAGCCACAGTGTGAGGTTTTCTGAAGTGAAGACACATTTTCTGGAGTTTCCAGGAGAGAAGCTGGCCCTGGAGAATCAGAAGAGCCTCTGGCCAGGTTCAAAAAGGGCAGTCAATTATGGGTGACCTCCCTACACACACACACACACACACACATGGGCTCCAGAAGTAGGGGCCCCATCCACACTGGTTCCTTTGCGCTTCGTGGTCGGTCCGTCCACCTCCCTGGGCTTCGTTCTCCATACGGTGCTTGAAGGGGATTTGTCTCAGCTGCCCCTTCATCCCGGGGCAGGCCCTCAGTTTGGGGAGTGAGTGGGTCCCCCTTCTCAGAGCGCAAGAAGCTGCCCCTGAGCAGTTCTAGCAGCACCTGGAGACTTCTCTCTGGGGTCAGAAACGGGAGAAAAGCTCACGTCGATCGCTCTGGTCACCAGCTCCCTCCGGCCCTCCTGCCTCTACATCCTTCTCCACTTTCAGCTTCCTCTCACTTCCTGCAGACCCCATATGTCTTTAAGGCCAAAGAGAAAGCTGCTTTACTTGCTTGCTTTCTCTCTTTTCTGGCGGTGCCAGGGCTTTCTCCAGCTGCGGTGAGGGGCTGCTCTCGTTGCGGAGTGCGGGCTCCAGAGCGCAGGCTCAGAGGCTGCACCTCAGAGGCCTGGGGCCCGCAGCATGTGGGATCTTCCTGGACCAGGGACCGAACCCGAGTCCCCCGCCTTGGCCAGTGGCTTCTTAACTCCTGGATCCCCAGGGATGCCCGTAGAAGGCTGCTTTCTGCCCCAGCCGCAGGGTCCTCCCTCTCCTCCATATCAGGTTCACTCGGAAAACCTAAGTACCATCGAGTGAATCTCATTATTGACATCTTGGTGCCCAGAGGACGATTTGGGTGCCTGAGTGGGATAGGTCCTTCCAGGCTTGAGGAACCGCTTGTCCCCACCTTGGACAGTGAATGAGGTGTGGGTCAGAAAGGGCCTGATTGACCAGGCGAGGCTTGGGAGCAGCACGTTTGTCCTTTCTTTCTGGAGAGCAAAGAGAAGGAGGCTACAATTTTGTTTCGAGTTTCTCTACCAGGCTTGCTGAGGGCAAGGCCCTGAGTTTTTACAGGACAGTCACACTGGAGCCCACTAAGACAGACCCAAAGCCTGGCAATGAGCCTGGCGATGTCACTTCTGATCATTCATCCTGCAGAATTAAACAGAGCAAGAATTACCAGCACAGCATTATTTATAGTTGTAACAAGCTGTAACTAACCTGAATGTCCAACCATAGGGGATTGGTTTTTTAAAAAAATGAGTATTTTCTGAATGATGAAATAATATGTAGCTATGAAAAAATAGTGATATGGAAAATATTACATTCTAATAATTGGGAAAACAGGGCTGCAAAATAGTATGATTTTTTGGCAAAAATACATATTATGCATGTACATGAACTATGTAAATATAAATATCAATCTGTCGATTATCATTTCAAGATAGGGAATTAGATGTTATTTTGTTGTTACTTTCTGTAGTTCCTAATTTACATGATTAGAGCACAGGTGACTTGCTTTGGAGGTTACATACAGAAGGCCAGCATAGGCGCTAGAGGAGAGATACTGCAGGCCCCGGTGCTGAGGCAGAAGGATCTGGGTTCAAATCCAGCCTCGCCACTGAATACCTGTGCAGCCTTGACATGTGATTTAACTTTCCTTGGCCTCAGTTTTTCCAGGTAAGAATGGGAGCAATGCCATGAGTTTATGTGGCTGCTGTGAGCATTCTATGACATAATCAATGTAAGTTATTTCACACGGTGGAAAGAGATGCCCTCAAATTTTACTTATTATATAAAAAGTCAATGTACACTTGATACGTACAGTTCAACACTGAGTTTGCTACCTTTCGAGCTGTGTTCTCAGCAGTGTGTGGGCTGGAGGATGGTGTGGTTGGTGGGGATTTACAGTGAAGCAATGAAGGGTGGAATACTTGGTGGAGATACCAACTCTACAGCCAGATCCCGCCATCGGCAACTGATGGTCAGGGGGTCCCCGAGGCGCGTGACAAGCTCGCGGTTGAGCTGGGTTTGGAGCCTGTCTCCCAATCCCTTAGTCCACCCTTTGCCTGTTGTTGCGTCTCCTTCCTTAGAGGTGTTTTTGAGGAATACTCACCTGAGCCTCCCCTCGCACCTGTGCCCCGGTTCCTTTCCTGGGAAATCGGAGGAAGATGGGCATGTCACAAGGCTTCCCCCACACAGAGGCGCTGGCCCAGGCATCCGGTGGCCAAGGAGCCAGCCTCTCTCACCCTCCCGTACCCCGCCATGGGGCCAGGACTTCAGGCCCAGGGCACTCAGCTCAGCCCCAGAGTCTTCATGCCTGACTCTACAAGCACTGCCTCAGTCCTCAGGAGGGAAACAGGAGCTGCCTGTAGGACTCTGGGGGGGGG